TGTTGCTTTTCTTTATCCTCTCTTCTCTGTCTATTAAGTCCTACAACTTTAATCACACTGCTTCTATCTCTTTATCTTCCATCTTGGTGCCTTGTATCAGTGTGAGATGTAGCAGCTTAGACCATTACGCAACTATGTCAAGCCGCATGCTGATATTGAGTAACTGAAGATTAACTTCAGCCGAAATAGGATTAGTCTTACATAAAAACTAGTGATGAACAGATCAAGATTTGGCACTAGTCCATAAATTTTCTTACTGTTGGTTTGTGATGGATAGACTATCTGGTTGAAATCTTTGAGAAGATAGAAATGAATGTTTGAAAATTTCCGTGACATGGTTCAAAATCAATTACACTAGGGGAGATATATATTTGTCCCTTTTCACTTTCACGATTCTAAGCAACTCAGCCTTCATTTATCTGTTCTCTATCTTATTACTTGCCCTAAGGCTTTTTTTACTTTGTTGATTTTGTTTTTGTGTAATATGTCAACGTTGGATCGAAAAGTCTGCGTTTATAAATAACTTTGCTGTTAGTTACATAGATCATAAGATAACTGAAACAATTCATTTTTCACTGTAAATGGTAGTGATCCATTTTCATCAATGGGAATTAATTTTGAAAAGTTAATTGCTCAGCAACAGATCTACTGACTTAATGTCCAAATCTCAGGTCATCTACAACCAGACTGTCTAGCGATTATGTATTAGAAAACTTAGAAATTATGGCATTATTCTATGCTTTTTACCTTTTCCATCACCATCACCATCTTGACTACCTAAAAAATTTGCAGCCATCCTTAACGTTATGGTCAATCATTCACTTTTACCAGTTCTTTTGCCGTTAGAAACAAACTAGTTTTATCATATTGCTTAATCTTGATATTTTTCCGAAGAAATCTATTGTTTCAAAAACTTTTGAATACTTTAAGTGTCAAGTTTCTCGTTTGTCAAGTTTATAGTGACTGATCACAAATTTGCTGTCAAAACATTCATTTAACTCGCTAGATAAAATTAATAAGCTGTAAAGCGTACTGAATAGAATTTACGACCTCTGACCTATAATTTTAAACCGTTTGTAATTTTCTATTATTACTATCATCACTTCCATCCCTTACCCACTCATTTTTATTACTCGTCTTCAGCCTTTAAATTCAGAAATCTATTGAAATAAATTGCATTGGTAGAAAATATCTTCCTAGATGTAATGTGAAGTATATAAATAGGTGAGACAGGACCTTAAAATTTCAAATTAGCAAATATTTTACTGATAAAGCTCAATTTAAGGGTAAGTCTCATCCTCTTCATGTATGAAGTACCTTACGTTGATATTATTATGTGACTTTTTCCCATTCAAGTTAAAAATCATAGCATAGCCAATTTGTAGCACATAAATTACAGCAAGCGAAAGTTTATATTTCGGTATTAAGTGATGATTAACATTTCAATTATGATGAAACTGTGTAGTCAACAATATACCTTGAAGAATAAACACTGCCATATTGATCAGTGGCGAGTTCCAGTGGATAAAATAAAATTTTGGCAACTTCACTTTTTTTGGCATTGATCTCATCATTTTTGTACTCACATGAACTCATCCTAGAAAGAAAGGTTTATTCCTAATTTGATCATCTAAGTTTAATAAGCTGATGATACTAGGAACTGGTGTGTAGAATTGCATAATTTACACTGATGTTTCTTACGGTCTAGTAATAATAAGGCTTATTTATCTATGCATGGGATAGACCTGGTTTATTCTGGTAGTAGTATATTAAAAATACTTACAGTTGTGTATCGACTTTGGTCTTAAGTGACTAGTTTCTATAAAATCCAATGAAACAATTTCACCTATGTATTATTAAGTGAATGTACAAATGTGGCTTATTGCCTAGCGCACAAACTTGCACATGATATAACTGAGTTAAATGCGCAAATATGCAGTTTATAGATTTATTTCCCTTATATATCATGTTTATATGTAAGTTAGCTTAATTTTTTATAACATCCTAATGTTGGTAAAAAGTAAACTGAAGAGTTTTCAGATTTTATGGTGACTAATTTGTAATTAAACTTAGTTAAAACACTTGATCATCTAACTCAATACTTTAAGGGTGCACCGCGATGCTAAGCCTCTTAGCTTGGTGGCAACATTGCAGATGTGATTGATAGGATTCGATCTGCACTCAGGACCGGACAACATAAAGTTGGTTGCTCTCCCATGACCCATCAGTACATGTAACCCAGTCTTACAGGATGTCAATCGAGGCCCGGATAGCTCACTGGTAAAAGTTGCTGACTAAAACACTGGGTGATGCGGGTTCGAACCTCAAATGGGATATCAGTTCCATCGAGGTTGCAGATACGCTTTGCTGACGAGTGTCAACAAGCACGGAACGTAGGTCCCAGGGCTTCCTACCAGTTGCATCTAACCAACTAACATCTACTAATGTGGACTGCGATGCTGGGCCTCCTAGATTGGTGACCACATTGCACTCAAGACTAGACAACATGAAATTGGTTGCTCTCCCGTGACCAATCAATACATTTTAAGGGTTTATTTCATCTTCATGTATTTGAACTCAAATGCTTATCAGTCTAAAGCTGTACGGAAAGTCACAAGTTTGTTTTCTAACGAAATCGTGCATTTTAAGAAGATATATAAGTGATATGCCGTGTGTAGTAACAATAATAATGATTGTAGTGCATATTGGCCACTAAGTACATGCTCATGCATTAGGCTGTGTACCACATCTGTTATCAGGACTAATAATACTCCTACCAAACTTCAGAAGTTTGGAAAGAGTTTAACTTTATAGTTCATTGGTTGAAAGCGAAAAGTAAATTGTAGAAAAAGTTAAAAATGCGTCAAATTATTCAGACAAGTGTGATAATAATCTTGTTTGAAATTCCTCTACATAGCTATCTATCGTTTACAGTTAATTAACTCATATAGAATAATCTTTGAGAAGCTAGTTTTTGATAATAAAGCAGTGAGTGGTTAATAAAAAGATATTCTAAGAGGTTGAATTAACTACCCACTTTATTAAATCTAATTAAAGCTAAGATACCTTCATAATTCTCGAAATGAACTATCCCAATGTTATGTCTATCATAGGTTCCTCGCATATTTATCTGTCTATTGATGATTTTATCTTCCTTCTCTCCCAGTTATGTAGGTAGTATTTTTCATACATGATTTGATTTATCTATGATTATCATAATGGATGACGTATAAAGTCGTTTCTTTCTCTCATATCATAATAGCTCTTCTTTTTGAACCTTGACATTTATGTAATCAAAGAATTTGTTCAGTATGCACTATTTTTGTATTATGATGCAAAGATTTTATAATATCCAGTAAGCTGTGACTATCCATCGTTTGACATTCAAATGATGGGTCATGGGTTCAAACTCTGCCTCATCTAACGATATTTAGATGAATGAAAGAAATTGAAGTATAACTCTGCAATCACATGCACGTTCCTATGGTAGGGGATGAACCACACTTATGTTGTGCGACTTTGTAATTCTGTTTTACTTCCCAGACCTCTGGAGTTTAAGAGGGGCTTGAACCCATGACCCTACGAATTGGAAGTCGAATGCTTAAACCAATAAACCACAGTTCTTACTTGAAAGGTGTGACTCATTGCTTAGTTCAGGAACTCGCACGGTATTTCTAAGTTTTAGTTTAGTTTAACCAGTATATCATTTAATTTAATATCAATAACAATGATATTTACTGGATATTTTCTGTCAAACGAGAACGTTTTAATGAAGTCACTGTTCATATCTTTTCTGTTGACTAATATACTTTATAATGAGTGCATCATTACTAATGTTTGCAGCTGATTTGTGTTACAGTACCCAGCGAGTAAAAACTGTTCTGTTATTGTCAATCTGTAATAAATACAATAGTTCCAGAAGATTGAGATGTAAATTATATGAAAGTTGAAGTCCCGAAAGAATCCTGATCGATATACTCGTCATATCAAGTGATAACTGCTAACACAACCATAGGTATGCGAAAGGAAGAAGCGTTGTTCAGGAATTTAATGAGATTTCTCCTATTATTTCTGGCGTGTAGTGTATTGATTCTAGTAACAGCGAAAAGACAAGACGTGGTTGCAGTGAAGAAAAATCTTCCTTTTCGACGAAGTCATTTACTAAGTTGTACATTCGTGAATATATGTTACAGTAAACAGAACGTTCCAAAATTATTTCCGGTTAGGGGGCAAAATATACTGAATAACTAAAGGAAGTTAATTAATGCATATTTGAGTTTAGAGTGGGAAAATAGACGAGAGATTATGAAATTAAATGTAATTATGTAATACAAGGTGAATGTATGGCAAAATAGGAAAATGAACGAAGATGTAAGAGTAAAACTTATACACTGTGGTAGAATGTAATTCCATTTTTATTGATTTATTGGATTTATCACACTGTAACACTATTGTTTACTGGATTCCGTTTCGGACATAATTTATTGAGCATAGTCATATCACAAAGTTGTGTAGTTATGTTGATATGAACAAGGATGAAGGAAATACAAAATAAATCTGACAGTCAAGGCTTTATGATGACCAAGACAGAAATAAAGGTTTGACGTACCTTTTTTGGAAGCATAACGCTGGTTTGGACTTCTGGATCGCTAGTGCTTCAGCTATAGACAAATGCCTTGATCTTACTCCTTTCGAGTGGTTTGATCGAACCCTGTAGAGAATTTTAAATGATCTTTCAAAAGGAGTCAAGTGACGTAAGTTAACGAGGTGTTCTGTTATTGAACTGAAGATACATTTCTGTTTCTCCCTATACAGCTTAGTAAATAACTTCATCGAAAAGAAAGTAATTTCTTCACTACAACCACGTCTTTTCTTTTCTTATGATTCTGGTTAGTTTAATCCTTTTTTCCTTCACTGCACTTCTGTTCTTTTTTCTTCCAGCTGAAATACACAACGCTATCCTCTTTGAGAGTTAACAAAAGCATTGTTCAAATGAAAAAATGTCTATATATCCATTGAATAGATTACAACATTTAGTAAGTTCCGTACAAGCCTTCATGTCATTAATTTGCACGATTCTATCAGTAAGTATTGATTTTATCTTTATGCGAATACTGTTGAGCTTATCACCGGGTATGCATTATTACTTCTGCATATTTTGCTCTCCCCTCAAACAATTTGGTCTAGTTGTGTTTTGAGTTTTATGATTTCGTATTCTATCACTACAGGATGATGGGTTAGTCTCAAATTCTATTAGTGGTTAATTGTACAACTTGAGATGTTATTGCTCAACAAATTGTTATAACAGATTTCCTGAAAACAGCTTTAAAACTACCATATGTTATTACTTACTACATCTTAAAGTTTTCATATCTTGAATCAATATTAAATTAGTCTTGGTATTTTTTCTCCATGTTTTTATGCATAGCTAATGCGTTTACGTTCGTTTTGTTCAATTCGATATGTGGTTAAATTTCTTCCGAATGGTTCATCAGCTCCAAGACTAGATATTTATAATCAAGTGATAACTAGGAACTCTTTACAATATGACGATTGTGATTGTGCGTTAACGGATTCCAATGTGGTAAGTTTTTATCCGTGTTACTCTAGCCTTATGTTTTTCCTCTTCATGTACTGTGTGTGATAAAGTATATATCCAATACATTGTGTATCAGTAAACATTATCAGTATAAGATCTTAGATTAGCGTGAAATGAACCAGTTTTCCACATCTCGCTTCAGCACATAGCCTAGACGTCAATAAGGTACAGAAAAACAAAAGAGAAGACAAAGAGAAATGAAAACCATATGTTGTAGAAAGCTGTAAGGTAGGAGAGCAATGAGATGTAGTAAATAATAAAATCTAGTGCGATTAAGATCGAAATAGGAATGGATGTGTTCAACTCCAACCAATTCATAGCCATAGCACCAAGTAACTCAAACTTAGAAAGCCCCCATTTCCCAACATATTCGAACCAGCAATTAGAGAATTTGTGGACAGGTGCTATGGTTTGGTCTGGCCATTGTTTTTCATGCTGAGAATTCCAAATTGCTTGAAACGAAGTGATTATTATTATTATTCCAACCTAGTCTTACTTCAACCGATAGGGCGTTGTGGATAGACGATGCCTTCATCTCATTTGTAACGTGTAATCTAGCTACCCCAATCAATAAAGGTTGGTTGTTTAGTAAGGTGTTTTAAGTTTCTAAATGTTCTTAACTAGGTTAATTCAATACTGTCAGTGAAAACGCCGGTTTCTACTTGTAACTCAATGGTTTGATTACATTTTTCAACTAGTGAGTTATAGCTTCAAATGCCACTTTACACTATCGAGGTTCAGGCAGTATGTTAATATCACTACACATGATAGAATGACAGTAACGTGGCTGAATAATTGTATACGAAATTTCCTATCAAACTGAGTCATATGCAATATTTGTAGGCTTGTGGTAGTAACCAGTTTCTCTGGGGGAAAATCAGGTGTCGTAGGTCTGAATATGTTTCCTAATGTATTTACCCGAACTATCATGTCATATCAACAGCCTACGGCAGAAATCCGTATGTGATTATTGAGATGCATTATTTACTACTATTATTTTTTATTGTTCAGCGTTGTGACAACATAAACAGGCTATTTTTAAAATAAAAGGTCATGGCTACAGTTGACTCACTTATCTTTTTTTAATTTCATACGTTAGCTGTACACCTCAAGTTGTACAGATTATGATGATTACAGTGAAAAGGAAAAAGAATTACTTTTAAGTCCTATATCAGCTCAGATGTCTAACTGTATTGTTAAAAAATATGCTACTCCAAACCAACTTTCCACCTCGCATTCCTCTGCGAAATTCGGAAATATTACACAGCCACATAACGTTGTTCCAGTGTATTATCTTGGTTCATTCTCAAATGTTCATACCAGTTCTCCAAGTTCACAGTCAAGGTCTCTTCAAAATCTTCAACATGGTCATAATAATGATAAGGAAGAGAATCATAATCAAATGAATGTTGAGTCATCAATTCAAAAGAAACGTAATCGAGGATATCATCGTAAACATATTCAAGGTATGTTGCATACTTCATGTAGACTACTCAAAGCAAATTAGACTAAAGCTGAACAGAAGTCGATTTCGCTCATAAAAGCAGGATTTTGTCATAGGCAAAGTTTTTCATTATATGTGAAGCATTTGTTACTAAAAGACTTATTATATAGATTATCTGATTTTGTTTGTACTTAAAGACATTCGGTTGCAGGTACACTCAGTTCCCACACGAAAGTGAATATGATGTACGGCTACTGTGTGACCAAGTGTATTTTTGTTCACTAAGGCTAAGAACAATAACTTAGCGTATAGACCTAGGGTAGGTTGAGCGGAGTTCGAACCCGTGACCCGTTAATTAAAGGTGGGCCATAAAGTGTAGCGCTTTATTTGTCTATATCGTGACTTAGTAGCTTGATCTCAAGGTTTTATATATATATATATATATATATATATATATATATATATATATATATACATCGTAGTTGGGGGGCTTAAAGTAGACGCTTAACTACAGCATACCAACTTATGTTAGGACAACACTCTGGCGGTTGAAACGATCAGTCCGGAGTTCGAGTCCTAGTGGGAACAACACTCACTAGCAGGCATGTACGTCCGGCTGAAGAGTCCCGAATAGGACGAAACTCGCGTCCTGGACTATACTGCTGGCTAATATCCATCATTACTATATCAGGTAGCTTTAGATTCGTTACACTGATCACTGTAATTTCAAATGGAACTAAATAGTTGTATTTCGTCACAATTATATGTATTTTCACTGTTCACTTCAGTAAAGATTTATGTGGAATTTTAAAGGATTCACTTTTTCGCTCCTGAAAACTAAAATGTAATAAATATTAAGTGAATCCACTTTTTTTTTGTTTACTTCGTTAGCTTTTAACTCTTACTTTTCTTTTTGTGAAATAGGGAAACGATCAGAAAAGTATTCTAAGACCACTGGTGGTAATACTTCAGATACAGATTCTGATGAACATTTGAATTATCATTCATACAAAACATCCGAATCGAATCGTATCTCACAGTTGGAAGCGGAACTTTCTCGCTTAAGATCACAAATTGCCCAGCTAATCTTAGCTCAGGAATTGGGTAGATCAGGTACATCTGATCTGGATCGTAGTAGCTTTCCTCATCGTCTAGATGCAGATGGTGAGAGTGATACTTCTCCTCGTGTGCAAAATAAAGAGACAAAACTCTACAGTCGGTTGAATTGCCTAGTATTCCAGTCAATTCGATTTTAAATTCGTCGATACCACCACCTCCTCCCCCTCCACCGCCACCCCCACCCATGATAGCATCAACTGCATTACATGAAACCAACAGTACGAATTGGAGAGATCAGTTAAAAGACAAGTTGAGAAGTAAACAGGTATAGTCCTGAAAACTCTATCTTTACCGTCTACATGACTTTTTGAATTCTCTATGTTCATTCATTATTTCTATTGGCTGGCGTATGAACCCGTATTTATATATATATTTTCCCTTTAGTACTATAGAAACGATCTGTCTCTGCTAGTATATTGGTTCCTTAATCGATTGTCTCGATTTTTGTTTTTACTTTGATATTATTTGCTTGGTGATGGCTAGCAATGGGAAAAGTATAAATGAATTACAACTGATACCCAATGCACAAAAGGTGGTTCTTGTGGCTAATTGTTGTATTGAATATTACTGTGGTGTTTAAAATGATGATAGGCACTCGATTCTTGTTTGAATGTGAACACTATCGCCCACTCGACTGCATGTAGATACATCCAGTTTACTTTCGTTCTGAATACCACTGCTGATGACCACCAAGTAAATAACATTAAAAACAACTAACTTTGTCCTCAACATTCATATGTAGATTATCAGTCCTGATGTCATGGAGGTAATGATTAGTGGCAGTAAGGTTAGTCAAAACAATTATGATGATGATGTAAGCTATTAGCTATATGAAGCTGAAAGCAATTTTCTTAAACCCAGGTAAACTGTTATAGTTTGAGATTAATACAACCAGATAACTAGGTTTGAAAGATATTTCTCACTACCTATCACTGGTTAGACGAGATTCATGATGGGCTTCTTGAGAAATGTTCAGTTCTGACTTTTCTGTGGAGGCTTAAACCGGAAATTATCAGGTTTCACTCTCAATTGACAAGGTCTGAATACAGTATAATCATTAATTTTACAATTTTGAGGGGATTGACATTAGCTAATGCTACTTGCTCATTGACTTCAGTGGAGACCGATTTTCACCTTTCAAAGGGTAAATTGCAGATGGTTTTCGAATATTTACTATTTCTTCAACAGTTGTCAGCGTGTATCAATTCATCTACAAGGAAACTATTTACAAATAAATGTCATTTTATGAATTTTTGTTGTGGCGTCTTTCATTGCTTGCATATTGTATGGATAAGATTGACATCATATGACTGATGCTTGTTAGCACACAAACCTTATAAATATGTACCCTGTTACTATTTTTTTCTTTCTGAATGATATCTAACCTGGTGTTCTAGACTTCAGTAGTCAGGTCAATATGTATCTTTATTACCTTTCATTTCATTCCCACTCTGCGCTCTTTTTCATTATCATCCATTTGTCAGCAATTTCAAATAGGTTTGATAGTGTAGTGTTAGAAGATGAAACTTATCTAAACTATTGGCTGTATTCGCGCAATATATTTTGAGCAATCTGGTCAAATATTTACTTGACAAGTCAATTTATGTGTAAGCAAAGAATGAGAGAACGATTAGAACAATTATGATAATAGGGAATAAAAATTAAAAAAAAGATAAAAAGGGAAGAATAATACATTTGTTTTCTTGGCAAGTCTAGGGTCAAATATATCTTTCTTAATTTCGACTCCCTATTATCATTATTTTTGTATTTGTCTTCCCGTTCTTCGGTTTTATGTAAACTGATTTAACAAGTAAATGTATAATTAACATATTGTTCAAAATGTACTCCGTAAAGGGACTAGTTGTTTTGAATTTCGAATAGGCTATTATGCACATATCCATATACATCTGATTATGTACGTAACAAATTAAAGAGACCTCCTCTTGTTCATGCTGAGGTGATTTATTTACTCAGTCTATAAGTGTCAGGTGGGTAGTCGATTTCATTATTACTAAGTCAACTAGTGTAACCTAATTCCTATCTGTAGATGTAGATTAAAAGTTATATTTTGCCGTGATAATCACTGTTCCTGGTTTAGGCAGTTGACTTGCAATTAATAGGTCTCTGGTTCCAGCGCCGCCCCACCTACCGAGGTAGGTTTGGGCAGCCAGGTAATATCATTAGCCGTCACACGATAGGTGTGCCACGTAGTTGCTGAGTACATTTCAATCCCTAGTGAATTGGATAGATGCGGCTATGTATTCGTTCAATCCTTGGCTTTATTCTATATTGTAAAGAGTGAAGCTTACTTCTCTATCAGTGTTGGATAAAATAATTTGCTAATAAATTTCAGTTTTTTTACTGGTTTGTACTTGACTCAATTCGAAATTATCGTAAAACGCAATGGAATGTTACTTGAAATTCTCATCGTTGTTACCAAAAAATAACAACGAAAATGACTAAAATTTCGAAACTGGACACCAAAATTGATGTTCTTCTAACAGGTTTTCAACATCTTGCATCATTTCGTGAAGTATATTTCTTTGGTGGAGAGGGGAGTTTAACAATCTCCATTACACTGCAGCACTAAATTAATTAGTCACTCGTTCAAAAACTGCTTTATTTACTGAGATAAGCGTTACGAAAAAATAGTTTAGCGAGGAAGATACTTACCAACAAACTTATTTTCAAAGGTTTTACTGTCATATAAACATTGATTAGTCACTGGAAAGCAACTAATCTCATGTTGTTTAATCCTGAATGCAGACCGAATTCTATGCATTACTCTGCAATGTGGCCACCAAGCTCAGCATCGCGGTGCACCATGATGGATACTAGTTGGTTGGAGGCGATCAGTGTATGTAACCCAGTCCTACAGGAGGTCAGTTAGGGCCCGAATACCTCAGTGGTAACGTCGCTGACGACAACACTGGGTGACGCGAGTTCGAACCTCAGGTGGGACATCAGTTCCGTCTACCATCTACCAATGTGCACCGCGATGCTGAGCCTCCTAGCTTGGTATCCACGTAACAAAAATGATCGATAGAATTCGGTGAGCACTTAGGACTAAGCAACGTGAAATTAGTTGCTCTCCCGTGACCAGTCAATGTAGAGAGACTTACCATCACTAGTCTGTGTATTGACTGGCACACAAACATCTGATATACTTATCGAATAGCAAGGAGTTAAATGGTATGGTAAACAGATTCGTCACTATTTCTACACGTATATTGTAAGCAACTGCAATGGTTGTTTTCGTAAATCATTATATTATGGCGAAATCATTTTGCTGTGTACAACTATTAATTAAAATTTTGCTCGATTTTTCATTCTGTTTTAGACTAAATTCCCAGATGAAACATCTACATCACTGAGAAGTAATCTTTCGACTACTCAGAATTCTGGTGATATGTCACAAGTGCTGAGAGAATTACAAAGTGGATCTATCAAACTACGTACAGTCCCAAGGTCCCCTGGTGGGACACCCATAAAACAAAATAAATCTCCTACAATTAGGTCAGAATATCTGTGTATTTTTTCATTAATTAATCCTCTCCACTTTCATGCACTAAGAAGGTCACTCTTCTTCTGTTCACTTCTTTTTTCCATGCTACTGTGAATCAGTATATAACCTTAAGTGTGATGCACTTCTTTGCCACCATCTACGCTGGTCTGTGGCCTTGGAGACAGCTGAGTTGGTGTACCATATCGTGGACCTATATCTTAATACCTTGGGAGGCTACAGTAGTATAATACTAACAAAACGGTGATTTAAAATTATCTGTCTATCTATATCTTACGTGATTACTTCTTCCTTTTCAATTCCTCTATTCTATTACGTCCTATTTTTATCTAATAATGTTGTTATACTTTTTTGTGTGCTACAGTCTAGTCTTTTGTGCTCATCCTTTATCGCGTTTGTGTTGAAATAAATAGATGACTTTTAGTGTCTCAAAAGTGTAATCTATTATTTTGAGTGTTTTAACCTTAAGTTAACTGAAATTAATTTATTAGATCAACGCTTTACTGTATGGAGATGAATGCATGCGGATTTTCCAGTCATCTGTTTTCTTTTCTCATGGATTTAACTAGAAAGCTTACATTTGTGTCATTTATGACACAAATCAAGTCAAAACTTCATGGATTGGTGGCATGCTATGAGCCTGTCACACTTCGCTTTCAAGCCTGATCCTACAATACCTCTTGTATGATGAAAGTAAAGAGGAAGAAGAATGTTTCAATCTTTTGGCAACATGCTGAATGATAAATATTGAAGTACTAAATAACAAACATAATTGATAAGTTTGTGATGACTGCTATGGCTACAGTTTGCATTGTACGTTCTCAATCGCTGGATAATGAGTTGAAACTCCCATTGTTACTGTCTATGAAGTGTAGAGTTGGACTGAGATATTGTTGTTCCAGATACCATTCCTTATTCGTCTGACATATTGAGGTTTTAGTCGTACTTTTTTAACCAGTTTTTTTCAAGCTCATGAGTGACTCTTAGCTTTTTTCTCTACTCTTTTTAGCGGCTCTGATCCTTGCGCAATTATTGCTCGGGCATTGCACTCTAAATTCTCACATCTTCGTTCCTAATGGACAATTCAATCAGTGATGAAGAAAACATTTCCCAGTCTAAATCTCATTTCGATTCTGGTCTTGGAGCTGGGTGTGAAGATATTTGGTCTCCAAAACATAAATCTAAAGGTTCTTCTCCTTCACTGGTAAGTAATTTCTAAGTGAAATTCATATTTCAAGACTTTTATCCAGACCTTTATTCATGTCTCAAAGCTGGTGAATACCATTATCCCTTAGATCTCATCCACAGAGAAATGTTATATCAACACATGCCAACCCGACGCAAGTAACCTTTATTTTGAATACTAAGTTGCACCCATCTCTTCACGTACATTATTATCAATAGTCCAAAGGTCACCAAATCGTGTTAGGTGTTAAAATAGCTAGGAGTGGTATCAAAGCCAGTAGCATTTCAAGGCAGGTTATCACTATTATGACTGTATTGCGAAATATACCTCTTAGCTACAGTATCACTTCCACAGAATTCCCAGCTAACACCAGTTATGCCTTCAGGGTAGGAGACAGACGTCTTTAGAATGGAGTACCTGAGTGTCGTATTTGTAGGAAACTAGATATGCCTAAGTATTTCTTCACCATTTAGTCATATGAACATTGTGACACTACCACTCTTAATTTGAATACATAAAGATTAAAATCTGCCGTGTTGGATGTCCGCATCGATTCACGTGAGAGATCATCTTTCTAAGTTTCCAGGATTCTCGCAGCCACCTATCTGCAACAGACCTTTTAAAAGTATATTTGTTTTAGAAATACAAGCAACTATCATATCAATAAGTACAATGCTTGCTGGCCGGAAACACTTCACGGTCTATCATTGAGTAAACATACATTAGATGTAGTTACTAGTGTAATGCATCAGGTTACAAATTCTCAGCTCAAGCATCTAATAAAAAGCGACATGTTAAGAAGGTAATAATGGGGACTGTTTGCATTTTAGAAGTTTCATTTGCTGAGTTTTCATGTGAAAGGTGTCATTAAAGTCACTTCTTGCTGGTTTTACAACCGTAGATCATAGAAACTACCATAACAAGCATCAATGCCATCAGAGTGATTAGTCTGCCCTCCATCCTTAAACGAGATATTATCTCAAACCAGATGTGCGACATCGTCGCAAACTGTAGACTCGTGAAGTATACTTTCTTCCTACTCAGGGCTTTCTTGGAGACAGTATTTTATTAGTTCTTTTACCTGAGAGAACTATGTAGTGTATGTACTCTAGGTTAATCCGAAGCTTTCTTGAAAGCAGATCAATCGGTTAAAGTCGGAGTCACCTCCGTCTGTAATATGAAACAGAAGAGCTGACAGGGAAGATTTCTAAATAAAGATCAGTTATGAGAAAATGAATAGTAGCGAATACCATGCACCGGAATATCGTCAGTACAGCTTCTCCCAGATGCAAAACAAACCTAGTTCTTCCAACTCCCTATTCAGGAACTCACTTTGTTCTAGGGCGTTAACAAACATGCTAACCCTTTATTTACTTCTGTAATTATCACAAGCCTTGTATCGCTGTAAAGAGGAAAACCGAAGAACAGGATCTATCTGAGGGAACTAATCCGTTTGCTTGAACTCATGTTAGTGATTTTCTCTTCCACATTTTAGTGAATTGGTTATGATTTACGACTCAGTGCTAGAGACTCAAATAGTTTAACTACCACAAAGTGTCCTCACTGAAATAAGCTTGTTGAGAAGAATGATTTGAGAAAATACATTTTCGTTAATCTCTTCAAGCTAAAGCTCTAAATACCGACATACTGTGCAGTGCAGCACTCGCACGTAAATATTTCAAATTTAGTTTAGAATTAACAAACTTCTAGCTGTTTATATAAAGACAGGGGGATTCGAGTACTAAAATAAGTGATGCTAACAAGTGGAAATATACGGACAACGGATAGGTAGACATGTAAGCAATAAAAAGCATAAAATGAAAATACTGTTGAATCGGGGTTGAAACATGAAGTACGGTAGGAAAACGCCAAAAATAGAAATAGGTGAATACTTCATTATTATCTACGCAATATCGAACTAAAGTTGGGTAATGATAATAATAAACTGGAACTTTGTCCCATCGACAATACTCCATGATAAAAAAAGATTAAAAATGCAGACAAATGTCTGAATATACAGTTCACTAGCCTAACCGCCACTCCCGGCGTATGAAGAAGACACAGAGGGAAGGTTCTGTTAATGCACCCATTTCTATAATTTCGTACCATCACAGAAGAGGAGAAGCTTGGTCACACGTTTAGCAAATAAGCATCAAGTTTGAGGGTCAAACAGTATCGTGACTGATTTATTAACCAGAACATTTAGACAGTGAGTCTGGAGATAATGAAAAACGAAACGCACTCAGCTACCTTGTGCACATCTGTGCAGCAGGCAATGGGCCACACCTGTATGAAGACTATTGATACTACCTGGCTGCTCAAACCTCGGTAAGTGAAGTTGGGCTCGAACCGACGACCTAATGGTCGATAATGAAAAAAGACAATATGGGTCTAAAGCATCGTGGAACGTTGCCATAACAAATGGGTATCTAGCTCACAAATCTGTATGGCCGATTCTTCAGTGACTTTCCATTTTTACTCGAGCCGAAGGAACTTAGATTGCATCAATAAAGAGCTTTCATTTGTCGTGGGCCTTGCTGTCTGATAGCACAAGGAATGTTAGCGAGAACCAGCTGAGTAACGCAGTTTTAACTCGAAAATGTACTAGGTGTGGAAAGTTGTTTTGTTAGAAACTAACTAATTGATTGCCACCTTGGGCGATTCGGAGAGACCGTAAGCTCCTACAATGACGCCTACTTAAAAAAGTAAGTAACTTATCTTGGTTGGCATCGCTTTTAACATACCTATATATTGCATAAGTGTCTAAATCGCTCCATATTATTTCAGCCGTTTGGTCAACATATGCTTCGCCCTACCAAGCGCTTTGAAAACGCAACCCAGTGAAATCTCACCAAATTGTTTTTATAATATACTTCTCAGAGAAATAACGTTTTGTACAGTAACTTTTGCGTAATAAACTTGCACGTTACCCCCCTTTTTCTGCTGATTTGAAACTGAATCCAGGGAGAAGTACAGTTCTACGATGAGGTATAACACGAAAGCGGTACACTAAATAGTTCGATACTGCTGTCAGCCGTAAGAGGGAAATCAACATGTATATAGTATAAATTTATTTACGGTTTCATTTTAAAGAAATATGGATACAGCTCGTGGAATAGTTATGTAGAACAAAATGCAGCATACATCACTTGGACCCCATACACATAAAAGGCTGCATTATTCAGTTTATGCTGTTGTCATTGACCGAACGTCGCGACCTCACGGACGCTACTTTCTCAATCTGAAAAGAGAAATATATCGACAAATGATTAGGCGAGTCGTTAGATCTGCTCCAATCAAAAACCGTAAAGTAACACCACATTTGAGACAGTTCAAATTAATCAAAACTGTTATTCAATGACAAGTTTGGAAATGTAGATGCAAGATTTTCTTGTATCACTTGTTTTCAGCTTAATTTTATGCTTCTCAGCGAAATAAGCACCGTAATAACTTGGGACCAAAGGACTGAAAGTGAATAAGGCGAAATATTTCACACTCGAATTACTGTTAGTGTTTACGTGATAGACTCAGGACGTAAAAAGTAACATTGGGTCGAGGTCGAAAACTATCCTCCTCGAGATATAGCTCCAACCATATGAATGGACAACTTTAAGGCGATATGGTTAGTACAGCCAGCCGTATTGTAGAAATCTTGTGGTCGTGTTCCAATTGAGGATTACGTCTGTCAGCCAGCAAACGATTTACAGCTCGGCTGATTTGAATGGTGAAACAAATACTTCCAGGATGGCTTCGCAACTGTTATAGTGGTAGTTATAGTGTGGAGTTACCTTTATCTAACAGTGCGTTTACAAAAGCTTCCATGTAAGAGTCATCTAACTCACTTAACCGGTGTTTCTTAATCACAAGTTATCTTTGTTCATCGTTAAAAATGCCTTTAAAATAGAATGCGAGCATCAGACCTAACGTGTTTGGATGTCAATCCAAGTTACCACACTACTTATCACCGCATCGAAGAGGAAACGAGAGAGATTAAGAACTACCAGGAGTCGAGAGAACCAAGACCAAAAAAAAATACGACCATATTTTCAAGATATAAAAGATAGTGTGTGCGCAGCATCCGCATCGACTCTCCATTTAACTGAAAAATTCCCGGGATTAGCTTTCCTTGTTGGCTAATCAGGAAACGTGCACCTTCCCATACAACCTAGGTAAAGGATTCGGAAGTTTGTGGATTGCTCTTGCGTCTTGATATGAGTGAACTCAGTCACAGGTGTGATCGTACTTCCGGCAACATCGCACATCACGATGGGTGGTGGTCCCATATGTGACCCAGCCACATCAGTTCACAATGTCACTCAATACGCTGCGCTGCAAAGTTAGTGGTGACTATAACACTTTTGCTTTCCTTATCCTGAGTTTCCAAGATTGACAGTCACCGTAGAAATAAATTCATCGTTGACAATCGGATCACAGGTCTTGTTAGCTGACAGAGACCAGATAGTCCTTCAGTTCCTCCCTCAAGAGCCATAAGTGGTGACAACGTAGTGACCTCGTCATTACTTCACAATAGTTCTTTTCAAAGCGGCAAAGCAAGTCACACCGGAAGAAACTAGCACTGCTCTATTGTATTGAAGTGCTTGACAGATAAGACTGGTCTAAAGGGTTAGCCAGTGGTTCTTATGTCTGAGATCATGCCAACGCAAACTTCCGATCCGGAATACTTCATGGGCACCTTGAAAAACAATTTGAGAATGTTTGGGATGCGTTTTTTGCCAAGTAATTTCGAATTATTGCTCCAGTACTAGTTTATACTGCTGCCTTGTTTAAAAATATGGAATGAAATGGCTCAACACGTTGACCACCTCACAGCTGGAGAAGACGGATCAAACTGGTGCGGCAGTGACCGACGACATTTAAGCACGGGCACAAAAAATTTGCTTGGCTCACGACATTTGCAGCGCCACTGTGATATCTCACTGTCTATTAAGGATTGGGTGTCCTGCGCTGCACTTCGCTCTATCATACTGTGGCAAAAAGTGAACTGCTCAACTGAACGACAGGGAGTACTAAAAAGAGTAGTGGGACTCGCCAGTGTCTCTTTCTATTCTCCGTTCTCACTTAGATGAAGTGAACAGTGAGTTTTACTGAAGGCTAAACGTTCATTTTTAGTAGCCATTCCAGGTAGCTTAAATACACAACTGGGTAGGCTAGACCAGGCGGAAGAGCACCTATGTGGGACTTTCGCAATTTCAGCCAAATGAACAGATGACGGCGATCACCCGCTACAACTGTGCACAGAAGACCATCTTTTCCCGGTTAGCACAAACTCCAGACATTATTTGACGTGGCATCCACCGACCTAAGCTCAGCAGCGGAACACACGCATACCATCTCCCCGGCGGCCGACACTTGCGATGTCATGATCTGAAAGGGGGCATTTGACTCAGTCAACCGTGAGGTTGTGGCAGTATCTAAAATAAACAATGCTTATCGAAAGTTTCCTACTCGGGATCATGCAGCCGTGTCAGGGTGTATGGAGAGCTGTCATGTGGACTGACGACAACTAGTGTCAGCCAGGGAAGCCACTATTACTATTCCTATTTAGCCCCGTCATAAACATTCTTACAGACATAACCTTAGGTACGGCCGACTTCACAGGAACTGACCTACTCCCTGGAGGTCATCTTGTTAACTTGGAGTATGCGGACACTATTGCCCTGCTAAGTGAAGACGACGACAAAATACAGTGTCTTGTGAACGCCTTCGACGGAGATATGAGAATGTTTGGCATGCGTCTTACTGGCATCTGTCAAATGTAAGATGGTGCTCAAGAACCGGTCTGCAGCTACTCCCAGCGCAATGATAATAATGAGGTGGAATATGTCGACCACTTCACTTATTTGGGGAGTTGGACTAGCTCGGATGGATGGTTGTTGACGGAACCTCATCTCGGATACAGAAGGCTCATTTGGTATTCGCCAAATCGCGCCATCTCTGGCACCGACTGGTGAGATATCTGACTTCCTACCAAATACTGCGTTACAGTATATTCTGTCATTTCCTACAGCTGTGAAACATGGCTGTTACAAATAGAAGATATAAAGTAGTTACAGGGTTTTGATTATAGATGTCTTCGCCGCATTGCCCGCGTTTGGTGGAATCACTGTGTGAGCAATGTTGAGGTTAGGCGAAGGGCACTAGGCACGAAGGGCAAGCTGACTGATAAGGTTGTGAACCTTTGTCGGCTGAGGTGGTTTTGACATGCACTGCGTGTGCCGAGCCACCGTCTACCTCGACGTGCCATACTAGGGAAAGTTGGAAGAGGGATCAGAGTGGATAGAAAGGACTTTACATCAATCCTGGTCTTAGCCACTTGGAAAGATTCAGACTGTCTGGTTGGAGCACCTGTGACGATAGGAATCAGTGGTTAAAGAGTCTTGGTAATACGGCTAAATGTCACGACTGCGTAGATGCATTCACTCTGACGTCTTCTAAAGCTCGAATATTCGCACTAACGTTTATCTTCAGAATCCAAAAAGCAATACTTAACCTGAAACAAGAAGGGCTAAACAGACTAGTACCAGAGGTGTTGAAGGACGGTAGTCGCGAATAATAGGTCAGGTCAGCTAAGATGTTAGCTGGCGGATGGGAGTCAGATACGATCCCCTCTGACTGGTCTTGATCGCTGATTGTCCCAGTCTTCAAGAAGGGGTAGAGATCCACGTGTGGTAACCATAGGGGTACTGACCTTGTTTGATTTTATCTGTCACTTATCGTCGAAGGTAATGAAAAGTTGCCAATTTTTCCGGAGCACGTACCTGGATAGTGGTCACACGTATATCTGAACTGAACTCGTGAAAAACAGCATGAAGACCACTGCGTGTGCTGTTCGACGATAGCATGAAAGCTGCTGCAGTGACAAAAGTGATAGACAGTTATCAGTACCGGACCGTAACACATCCAGGAGCTTTGAAAAAATTAGAGATTAAGACTATAGCGGACTATCAGAGAGCGGTTGAAAAGAGACAGTAGATTTCATCATCTACTGCTGAATTTGTGGATACATGAGAAAGCATCTCAACAGGCTCCGAGCACAATGAGGGTGTAAGAAACTCGAATGTCGACAGAGGTGAAGTCTACGCAGTGACCGTGAGCTGTGGCGGGTAGCGAAACCTGAAGACAGAAAAGAACATAGTAACAGGTAACAACAAACAAATACTCAGACTTATCAAGAAAACTAGAGTGATAAGCTTGACAGTTGGTTAGGTTATAGCGGAGTAGCATAAGCTGCAATTCACTCGAAGGAAAGACGACCAGAACGATGAGCCGTACATTTCGACAAACAGTTCAATGGCTTCGAACACCAAGCTGGAGTATAAATGGAACCTTGAGATAGAACCTGCAACACTTGCAGAATCCAAAAAGCAGTACTTAACCTGAAACAAAGGAGGGCTAAACAGACTAGTACCAGAGGTGTTAAAGGATGGTAGTCGCGAATAATAGGTCAGGTCAGCTAAGCTGTTAGCTGGCGGATGGGAGTCAGATACGATCCTCTCTGACTGGTCTTAATCGCTGATTGTCCCAGTCTTCAAGAAAGGGTAGAGATCCACGTGTGGTAGCCATAGGGGAACTAACCTGGCGAACATAGCGTCTAAGATTCTCGGTTTTATGATCATCCGACGTTTAAAGAGAGCTCCTGGACAATGAATCCGAGGAAACCAGGCAGATGATAGATCTGGTCGTGGGTGTATAGACCAGACATCTATTCTCCCCAGGTTCTGGAACACGGGCATACTAATCGACACCCGATACTGTCGACCCGATTGCGGCGCTCGACTCTGTAGATCGAGGAGTCATCTAGCAGTCACATTGTGAGGAGCACTAAGTAAGTACATCACTTTATGGAATGCTCTGTACTCGAACATTTGTGGGTGTTAGAGTCTACGTTGTTTACGTCGTGTGGTGTCCATCGAAGATGTCCAGCCTGTCCATTCTTATTCAACACTATCACAGACGTACTTATGATGGTCTCCCTCTCATCGCGTGACATTGTGGGGACTAATCCTACCACAGGAAAATCCTTGGTAGATCTAGAATACGCAGATGACAATCCTGGTGGGTGAAGATGCAGTCCTCTGGACACCTTGAGTGGCAATTTAAGAATGTTTGGGATGTGTTTCTCGCTACTCAATTGCAAATTGTTCCTCTACGACTAGTCTTCAGCGGTATCCTGTCTTACAATAGCGAGTGAAGTGGTTGAGTCCGTTGACCACTTGACTTGTCTGGGAAGTCGAGTCAGACGTGATAGGTCAGTGATCGACGAAATCTCTCTACGGATACAATAAGCTCGATTGGCTTAGTCGCTGCCATACACCACTTGTGACACAGCCGTGATATCTCGTTGCCACTTAAAGATGGAGTTTACGGCGCCATATTTCACTCTGTTCTACTCTATGACTGACAAACACGGAGCCAATAATGAAGGATCAAGACCTCAGGTGCTTGACCTCTATTACCTTCATGACATAGACCGTGTTGTGGTATTACCACGTCAGTAACGTAGAAGTCAGGTTAAGAGGAAAGTCAGTTGGTGTGTTTGTGAATCTTCGTCAGCTCAGGTGGAGGAACATGTGTTACGCATGTCTAGTCACCGTCTGCCTCGTCTCGCAAGGACGGTTGAAGTAGGTTCAGACTGGAAAAATGTTCGGGGCGACTAGACTATAGCATGGCATCAGTGCATGAGGTACTTGACTGTTGGTCGGTTTTTGGCCATGTATGGAGATGCAGAACGCTTGATTGGGGCCCACGCGACAAGAGAAACCAGTGGTTGGAGACTGTGATACGGTTCAATCAATGTCAGTGGGTTTCGTATATCCACACTTTATCTTCATCTTAACCACCATACTGAAGTCAGAATTTTCTCGATTCTCCTTCCTTTCGTTTACTGCTTTCGACCGATTTTTTTCTTACCCCATCTATTATTTTACCACTTTGCTGGAATGAGGTGTGGCATCTTGGACACTTACGCAGTAGGACCTGATCCCATGTTAGTGTTGATGCAACTCCCTATTCAGCTGAGATGACCAACGCTTTAGCCACTGCACTCCCCATTCTCAAATAAGGAGTTGGTACAGACAAGTCTTGAGGCATCATCTTACGCAAGATTGGTGAGAAGGGCATAGGAGGTATACTCAGATTTCTCTTCAAGGGATTCAGATAACACTGCATTTTGTCCGAATCTTCGCCTAATAGGGCAATTTCGTCTGCGTGCTCCACTTCCAATCAACCAGATACTTAGTGAATTAGTAGATCTATGACGACGTTAAACAAGAACGATGATAGTGAGCACCCGGTAGTAGACACTACGTCGACAACCTCTATAGGAACTAAGAAGGCTGCATGAGCTCTAGTAGAGCAATGATCAGCGCTACTGATTAGTTGGGAATCCTCTGTCGAGTCAGACAGTCACAACTGTCGGTTGACAGAATCGAATGCTGCCTCGAAACATAAGGTACTGCACTACATGGAAAGGGGTATCAGGGAATGCATCCTCAATATTGGAGATGATGCGTAAATACATTTGCAGCAACACCGTTGATAGAGGTATGGCAACAAAACCTTCCAGTCACTCATTCATTACATCTCGAAAAGCCCAGCTACTTGACTTACTCTTAGCTGCAGAAAGATAAATCAACGTTGGACCTGGGATAGAAATATCTATTCAAGTCATCCCAACCAATTTACCTTTCTACTGCAGTAAACTTGTGTATTCATTACGCTACACACTAATAGTTTCATGAAAACACTTGAAAATCCGCTTATCTGCAGCTTTCAGTGGCTACAACTTCCAATAGACGACTACTGTTTAGAACCAACCACTTGGCTAATAATTATACGTTACTTGCGCCAGTCACAGCATAAATTTGTAAATGCAACACGAGTTCGATTTCTCTGATCAGACTTCGCCAGCAGCCCGTTCATTTTGACAGATAAGACTTTATGAAACTGGCAAAGCTATGAAAGTATGCTCCTACTACCCTTTCTATTCCCAAACTAGGAGTCGGTGGAGTTTGATCTCAAAAGATCGCATTGCAGGAGATGCGAAACACTTGGCAGCACACAGAATGCATCCGATCCCATTACATATGAGCGGCAAACCAGTTCCTCAGAATGCGATCAGCTATAACAGTAGCCTTGTAGACACATATAATTGGTAATAAGGATCATTCCTAGCGAAGTTGTGGTTTATCAGCCTAGAAGATTGACGCGTTTGAGCACCGCTCCACCTGCCAAGGTTTAAGCAACCAGGTAGTATCGTTAGCTCTCACAATAAATGTGGCCCAAACCTATGCACGAATGCCCACAGGACCACTGGGTGGGTTTCGACTCGATTCCTCAAAAGATATCACTTATAGATATATCAGACATGACACCATATCGTAACTATAGCACCTCAGCCTATTTAAATACTAGGTTTCACCATACTTCGTGCCCCCTTGCAGCTAGATGGAGATTAGTTAGTCTCCGAGTTTTGTCACACGAAGACTGCTACGCTCACCAGCACTCACAAAATCATACAGAAATCTTCGATCTCTGACACTTAACTAGTTTTGATAGGCATGCTTATGGTAATCTTGTAACTAGACTTTAAACAACAAGCCGGAATAAAGGATATAAACAGCATATCTGAAACAACAATAAAAACAAAATTACCTCAGTCTGACACTGCTGGACAATGTTCAGAATATGTGAACGCCTATTATTTTCTTTATTTGACATATCATCATTTATTTGTTGGAGCAGCAAACTTTGAGGGGAGGAACGTGCATCTGCAAGCTGTTTTGCTCTTTCAACCTTCAAAGTAAACGAAAAATATTAGACAGCATACCTCTTTTTTGCTGCTGTTAACTATATTTTCGATAATCTGTTGTCTCCGTGATGACTTTAATGCTAGATCTTCAGTAAGGTTTTCCATTATTTCATTGCAGCGACTCATAAGTTTTTCTTTTCCTTGCTCACACTTTGACTTCGCCAGTTGAACATGCTGTTCATTCTTATTTATGGTTTCCTACAAATCAAATACTGCAGCATCAGTACTTACTGCCAACACGTTTGAACGCCTCTGTCGGGCTTTTTCAAGCCTTTCAGTCAAGTCTGACTCATTTATCTGACTACGGTTAGGAGATTGAAGCAGTCTTTGTGCTCTTGGAGATTGAATACCATCTCGAATCGGTATTTCAAACGATACACTGGAGTTCATATCTTCAGTCTCCATCACAAGAGTTTAACTTCGAGTATACCGCGTAACCCGTTGCAAGATGTTAACCACTGATCCTAACAAAATATACAGTGTGACCCAGAATTCTTTAGGGAAAAGTGCTATACTCCTTCCGAGGTTAAAATAAAGTGCTAACCATCAAAAGACACTTGTTTTTCATCTTTCTTCTTTTAGATGTTCCAATGTTTCACTTCTTGATTTTTTTCTCACCCCTGTGATAGTTTCAGAATTCTTCTAATTTTCAAATCGTCGAAGTAGTCAAGTGGAAGCATCTCAGAATGAGCTTCTCTTTATAGCAGAATGGGCCTTAGGTTGCAGAGTTTTGTGTCTTATGATGACAATCCTTCGTTGGAAAATACTTTGTTTTTGGTACACATTTATGTCATTTAATAATTCCCATTGTAACATCAAGAACAAGATATTCAGCGAAGAGACTCTTTTCAACGAATTTATTTTCAAGCTGTACAATCGTATATATATGATATTTGGAAAAAATTATATCCTGTGAGGAAAACTAAACACTACATGGTGATGACAATAATAATAGAGCAGATGATGACATAGGCATTTGTGATCATAATAACAATTGAAGTGCGAATGATAACAAATAGATTATGTAATATATGGAATGGTATATAGAGAGCATATGACTTAGAAGGGGGTGAAAAAATTGTTGAAAATGGTAAATCAATTAAGCATTATGTAATGGCATTAGACAAGCTGGACAAGATGAAGTCAGTTTTCTAAAAGGATTAAGACAGTTAAGTGAAATAACACCGGAAATTAATTAAAGTGAAGGCGATTATAATAACAATAATAGTGATAAAGGAAGGATACAAATGTTAAATTAACAGTGGGAGGGGGAGCTAGTGGGGTGGGGAAATGTTATGGCCATGATAAAGACAGTGACTGCACATACTTCTTTTGTACACGCAGATCAGGTGTTAGCCCATGAATAGCTAAAGCCTCCGCTATTTTAAGGAGTTGAAAACGAAGGTAACGTGGGAGGTTTGGGCGAATTTGATAAACAATTTCAAAGTCATCGTCTGGATTTTGTGTGATGGAAGTCAATCAAATGTTCTAGAATGGAACCTCTAACAGACTTCCTTTCACCTTTATAAAATCAAGCAGGAACATGTTCTTGTATGCGTGCAGAAAGCATTCCCTGGCTACGGCCGATGTACCTTACTCCACAAGAGCAGGTGAACTGGTAGATGCACACAAAGGCAGCCAAACGAGGAAGCTTGTCTTTAGTGCAGGTGGAGAATAGGTTGCGGCTGGCAAAAGTCAACTAAAGTCTTACTGCGAAGAAGGTCCTATTGATTGATCTGGTAAGACGATTCTTCAGTACATCCGATGCTATGTCACCTCTAAACTCTAGGCTCACAGGCAATCTTTTTTGAGACCAGGTGGATGACCGGTTTAGTGTTTCTTTCGCGCATATTTTTATCAATAAAACGGCTAGGGTAACCACTTTCGACAAGTGTGTTTTAAAAAAAGATAGCTCTCCATCGATGCTATCGTCACTACGGATATTTCTTATTCGATCGCAAAGAGAGTGAATAAGATTTGTTTTTCTGTTGATGGGCACCCAACTATAAAAATTAGTTAGTTGTCCGTTCCGACTTGGTTTCCTGTAGGTGGATCATTTAAGGTATCCATTCTGACGTCGGGTGAGAAGCACATAAGAAAAGGAATAGTTGATTCTGATTCCTTCTCTATAGTAAACTTGAGGGCTTGATGACATCCATTGAATGAGTGAAGAACATCGTCTAGGTCAACATTTTTGTCGCAAACAGCAAACGTGTCGTCCATATATCTTCTATATACACTTCCATATACACATTTTGTGTGCATCCATTAATATCCACCCTGCTGAGGTTATTCGCTTCTGTTAAATGAGAAATAAACTCTCGAAGTGTCTGTTGATGAGAGGAGGTTTTTGAGCGACATGATGCAGAACAAGTTTATCATTTCTTAATCAGTCCCTAACACATTTTGGAAGTGCACTTTACTTTATCATGGTGGATTTGGTTTATGCCTTACTAGGGACATCTTACAACACGTCCATGAACACGTTTCACAGCAGCAAGGAATAACGCCTGCATACGACGAAGTTAGTGTTCAGATTTGGCCGAACATCTGTAATGGAAAGTTCTTTTTATTGTTGAAAAGTTCTTGAAATCTGCTGGAAGTACTTCAAATCCAATTTTTAGCTTACTGGACGTTTAAAAAATGTGGGGAGTTTGCGTCGAACATTTCCCAGCTCTTCTGAGCAGTAGAAGCTGATAGTGAGGTTCAAGTTGAGGAAAATCAAATTCTTGAATGGTCTTATCTATGTACTTTCGAGGCGTTATGGTAGCGGTGGATGTGTTGAGCTATGCTCAAAGTCAGGAGATTCGAATTTTTGGAAAACTGACAGAATGAGACTACAGCTTGACTTATGTACAGAAGAAATAAAAATGATCTATTAATATTCACAAAAGCGAGAGTTGTGCTCAGATGGGGTGAATGTTATGTGATAAAGCAAAATGATCTCCAGACTACTAGGTTCGAAGGAGGGATAGTGAATTTTATCACTGCCAGAAATATATGATGGCTGTAAAGTCTGTCGTTTCATAGCTGAGAAGAACAACAGACACAATAAGATTGTGAGATACGAAGCTGGTTGCACGTTTGCCCAATAAGAATATGGCCTTGGACTTCCGGCTGCCTAGGAGGTTTGGTTCCCGCCAAGCGAACCAAGTAAGGACCGGTACTGTGGTACGGCAGAACAGCGGATGACGGTAATCATGGGACGTCAAGACGAATGTGGGGCGTTCCAAGGGCTGAATACAAACTTCAAGCCAAGTCCCACGAGTGTGAATAAAGTCGAGGTTTGGCTGTCCATTTTCGTCTTCTCGAACCTCAAGAGTTTTGCCACTGAAACTACACTTTGTCCGCTAACTTACTGCACACATCCCAGTATATGATGTGTGAATCATTGTTTCGTCTCTCGCCTTGTCTCGTTTTCAAGTGCAGTTCAAAACGTCCGCGGCATGGAGAATTGACCTCTTTTGTGAGTATTGATGAGTAGCCGCAAATTCATCAACATATGCATTTCGAGGCTCGATGATACCCATTTTCTCTTGAATTGCATTTTGTATGCATCTCCTATGACTTTGTAAGGTGGTCTGATTGCATTGCTGGTGCCTAACACCTCACCGGCCTTTCGTAAACTGGTGTGCGCCAGTACCAAATTATTCAGTACCTTGCACATGCGTAAGAACTGGCCGCAAAACAAAGTAGAAAACATGTTATGTAGTAAGAACCACCAGCACAAACAGTTTATCTATTAGTCCGAGATAGAGCTTATATTGGGGGAAGAATGTTGACTTGACTTCCTATCAATGACTAGGCTAGGAACTCTGAGGCAGTTGCTGTCGGCCAGCAAAAAATGGTGCATGACGACGGGTGGATGCCTACGTGCCAAAACGGACTTACAGAACTGAAGCGATCCGTCGATGCTGTAAAGGAGTACTGAGCCATTCTTTAAAGATTTCAGATGTTAACTGACTTATTTTAAGCCCAGCGTTACTGGGTGACCAAGATATTTTTTGTCGCCAACAACCTCCAGACTATGGTTCGAGGACATTCTAGATGGGTATACGAAACAGCTGACATCAAAGGATAAGTGCTGACTGATGAAGGTCGGAGACCTCTGAGTTTGCATCGAAATATCCGTCCTCACGTATCAATAATATCTTAATCCTGGATTTACCGCAGCATACTGATTGTACAGAAATGGTTACTACGGTCCATGCGTAAATTCTTGGACAAATGTGTATTATAAGGTTTTCAGTAGTTATTTCCGATCCTCGGGTAAAATAAAAGACAAAAGTGCGCGGATATAGTTAATTCAAGTGATGTTGACCGGTGATAACTGGAAACTGCCTGATTATTTGTACAAATGGCGACCTACGTGGGTCACACATACGTAGCGTGATATAGGCTGGTAAGAATGTGATATTTTAAGATACGCACAAAGTGAAAGGAAAAATGTGAAGTGATTTTGTCGCGGGAAGGGGAATCACCTTGGCGTCAGCTACAGGAATGGTAATTTTCAGGATTAAGATCAATACTTATGGCTCTAAGTAGTACATTTACTGCGCTACATTATCTATGTTGAACTCATGACATGAGCATAAAAGGATTTATTTATTTTTTTCCCGCAAGTCGACCCAAGCACGTACAAGAGTCGTACGCTTTAAAACGAATCCCGCATGGAAAGAGTGGCATAAAAGCTGTCGTCTTCAATCTTAATGTGCTTACAGCTTGCTAATCTATGTCGAATTGGTTCCCGCTACCTTGTACTTGCAACTGATCTTGAACGGCAGTGAGTAACCACTGGATTTGAAGGTAACCCTATCAACGTTGCCAAGTGCAGCTCTTCGGTTGCTTTCATGCTTGAGAAACAAATGGGGTAACGTTTTGAAAGTATTTTTACAGAATGAGATACTTTTGCGAGTCATTTTTGAAGAAGTTTACGACACGATCGCGTTACAATTATTGTACGTTCGCCGATATTCTCCAGTGGTCTTCGGCTAGTTCATTAGTGTCTTGACCTATTTCGTGTGAGGGTAAATTTGGTATATTAGTAGCCAGTAATATTTTGTCGCGTTATGCTCTTTTTGAGTGCGGTCAGCCCTGTGAACTCTGCTAAAAAAAGTAGACCACATGCTTCATCACAGTAAATGAGAAACCAGGATGAGGAAAGCATTTTGAAAACCGTGACGGAAATTGTGCGAAGTCCACTGCAATTTCAGTGCCATCGTTGAACGTACGGCAAGTTCATAGTATGTGTAAGCGCCAGCGGGCTTGAACAAGCGATGATAGGTCAGACTTAAAGTACAGAAGTGCGTATATTTCATATCAATAAATAGGTACCTTATTCCCATATTGGTAACTTAACACGAGAGAAGACAGTTTATAGGCATCATCACATTGATACATGTTGGAAAACCCATAAGATTTTACCGGTCCCGAATAGTACGGAAGGGAGGTAACT